TATATATATATATATATATATTATATATATTATATATATATATATTATATATATATATTATATATATATAGTGTACATAAGTCAAATCTGTAATACTAACCTCACGACTGTTGTAAACAAATGAATTTCGCGAAGACAATTTTCCCGCGCGTTTATAATTAGTTTAAAAAAACTGTTGGAAAAAAGGCCTTAATCTCTTACTTTGCCATGTCGTTTGTTGTGTGAATTAAAATTGACAAAACATCGAAAAAGGGTTGATAAACCAGGAACAAAAGCCACGATAAACAACAATATGCACTGTCCTATACATCGTAAAATATCGGGCATGCACGTGACCCTATTGAAGACCCGTGACTGGTCAATGGCATGTGAATAACAGCTCATATATCATAATAATTGGAAGACCTACTCAGTCAAAAAAGTGTCGCCAAAAACATGGCGGATTTTGATGTAAATTGACGCCATTTCCATGACGACTGGTCCCTAAATTCATGGTAATTACCACTGAGCAAGGCTCAATCTTGTGCCCGGTACAGTTTTCACCCCACCCCCCCTGTTTTTGGCAAAAAAATATTTCGACTTTACAGTGAATAAGGCTTGTTTTGATATTTCTAGTCGACATATTTTTTCGACTGTTGATCATTGGTTCAAAGGACAAAGATGTGGAAGTCGTACATGTTATTCTCAGTCTGTGGAACGTGAAAGACAATAATATACACTTAATGTCTGCTCCCGAGGGAAATAGTTTTGTTTTCCCGAGAATCTCAATGTTTCCCGAGACGAAGTCGAGGGAAACATTAAGATTCGAGGGAAAACAAAACTAACTATTTCCCGAGGGAACAGGCATTAAGTGTTTTGTTATATAGCGACGAACAAAAATCAACTTCAACAACATTCATACAACAATTGTATTTCGTGACAAAAACTCTACAGTGTAAACGAGTTTAAAATTAAAAGAACCTACTTAAACGGTTTCAGCAGTATATCCTGTTGCCTGTTGTGTATTTTTCTTCTCTTTTATATTGTTTATTTGAACACAAACTTGGAAAATCGTAGTTTCTAAGTATCTGAGTTGTTCCTCCATTTTGTTTATTTATGTACGTGGCCGGTCGGGGCGGGCAACAATTTTTCACTTGTTGCCCGGCGGGAAACATTGCATTTATCTGAAGTCACGTGACCACAAATCAGCCAATCACGTTTGGTGTTCACGCTAGCTATATAACAACAACTATTAAAACCTCGCCAAATGTGGGCAAAAACAATATTTCATGCCAGCTAGAGCTAACAGCTTTAAAACAGATATTTTAAAATTCACATTTACTATTTCACTAATTGATTTCATGAAAAAATGTTGGGAATAAATATTAGAATATGCTTTATTTTTAAAAAAATAAGCTTCGAGTATTTATAATGTGGTTGTAGATAAAATACAACTCCAAAAATCGATAACATTTTTTTTTATTTATCTATACGTTTCGACTATATTTCAGTCATGATCAGGATAAACTAGCTAGGTTATAACTTATATATCTAAAGCGGTATTTATATGAACAAATATGATACAATAATTAGGTTGATTATTAATATGATTAGTTCTTTAGAAGCTTTAAGTCCATGATTAAGTTCAGGTTTATATCTTTGAATAGCGAGGGATTCTTGATACAGTAAAAGGGACCGATGGTTAGATTTATTAATTACTTTAGTGTTGTGGAAAACATGTTCAGCCATTATACAGGTTTGATCAGACTTTGCGTCATCGTCAGGATATAGTTCTAAAAGGGCTTTAATATGTTGAAACTGTTCGCAAGTAGAAAGATGTTGATGGATTACAGATTCTATGTGATATGAATGTTCTTTAGTTCTGGTGTATAAGCAGCGATCAGTTTTTAGTTCTCTATGCACATTTTCAACTATTCTGCAGTATAGATTAGAACAAATCTCAATCTCTAATGTTACATCATGTTAATTATACTACATTAACCACTAAAATTACTATTTGCCACATATCACCTAAATACCAACATTATGTATAAGGGGGGCGGGGGGGGGGGAAGGGGACAAAGTTTGAAAATATAAGAAATCTACTAATTTTTTCCTGGATTCAGTACGTGCAGGCCTGCAGGGGATGACGAAATTTCCTTATTGCCAAATATTGGGGCGAAAATTGAAAAGGATTATAAACAGTTCCAGGTGCCCGGAAAAAATTTTTTAACCCCCCAAAACATTTTTGGGAAAAATAGGGGGCCCGAAATAAAAATATGCTCCGGTCCCCCGAATTTCTCTGACAGGCCCTGCATGCGCCGTTTATAATGTAACCTGAGTATCAGGCCTTTTCCGGTAGGATTACAGTGATTAGGTGTGCAGAAACCCCTGGCCTTGCTAACAAAACATAGAAATAATAGATATAGAATGCGTACTTGATCACGAATCATGTCTCCACTTTTTCTCATGCGTGCTCTTATAAATCCGCCATGTTTGAATTTGACTAGGAGTGCATGCAAACTACAAAGTATAAACAAAGCTAAAACTACGTTTTCATCGTCAAAACGTTTATCTTGTTGTCTAATTTGTAGTTTGGGGATAGATTTTGAGTTTTTTGAAGGCACAAACTGTCAAAGCAAATGTGCAGTTACAAAAACGGTGAAAATCGTGCAGCCTTGTAAACAAAGCATTTTCCCCGGTTTCTCGAAATTTACTCATAAAACATTCAGTGCATGCTTTGAACGTCACTACTGTCACTGTTTTGCTAATATCTTATAAGATTACAAAATGATAGTTCTTTCTTCGTCGGGTTTCGTTTTTCTTTGATGTAAACGAAGGTTTTTTATTTTTTTGAAACAAAAATATTTAGTTGTCGATAGACTGTAAATTGTCTAAATAATCGTCGAAAACTATGGTTTCAAAAGCGTTGCCTCAAGCTCAAGCAACACAGAAAAATATGAATAGTAATTGTGTAAGTTTAAAAAGATTACTGAACTTCATTTATATTATATTATATAAAAAAGTTGAAATATTTATAGAACATACCTATTGAGTTTGAGTTTGTCTTGATCTTTCGGGCTTTGTTTTGGCTTGCACAACAACGTTGAAAATTTATTTTTAAACGATGATTTCTGTATATATTCTGTTCAGAACTGTTGCTTTTCGTAAAAAAGCCCACTAGAATGGGTTTTTAGACACTTTTTTCACTTTCTTTTCCATTTTAAGTCTCGACATAAAAATTTTTGCAAACTTTGCATTTGAAAAAACAATTTGCACTCTCTGCAACCGCGCGAAATTCCCACTGAAATTCCCTGCCGCCTGGGAGTCTGGGAACCAAAATGCCCTTATAAATCCGCCATTTTGTGGAGACAAATTTTTCACTGAGAAAAGATAGGAGTACGCATTCTATATCTATTATTTCTATGTAACAAAACCACTATATTATAGTCTCGTAACTGAATAAAGTACTCAAGAGACCGTTTCCAATAATACAACCATTTAATATGAACTATAAACTTAATAACTATTGCATTGTTTTGCTGCTTAATTGCTGCCGTAGCGAGCGAGCGTGAAGCGAGCGAGCGAGGCAACAATCCTAATCTTTATGTATATGTATATATATATAAGGCAGATGAAATCTCGATCGTTTCGGCGTATTTCGGCCTACCACAATGCACTGCTTCCGGGCCGGCAGGCTATTCTTGCCTAATAAACAGGCATAAGGCAAACAAGCAATGCGATCATCTTTCATCTTTGGTTTTCTTAATATGGAAAGCATAGCTGGCGTAAGTGATCAAACTGCATTTTGTAGATACGCAGTGGTTCGAGCGTTATACGCGGTGGTTTCGCTATTATACGCAGTGATTCGACCATTATACGTGGTGCTTTCGCCATTATACGCGGTGCGTTCGCCATTTAATATACGCAGTGGTTCGAGCATTATACGCGGTGCTTTCGTCATTATACGGGGTGCTTTTAACACAATTTCCATATTCTTTCCATGTATATAACCTCACGATTGCTTAATAAATCTGGTAGGCCTATGTGGCTGTGCTTTTTGCCTCTGGTTGACATGCTTTTAAAAAGGTTTATTTATAAAAAGGTGACTGCACTTTGTGAGTTATTATATATTATCATATAGCGTTGATTTATTAGTAATAAATCTGTGTATACAACATAGGTATATAAATTAATATAACGCAGCAAATGCGCGCCAAGCAGTATAAACTCGGCTGAAATACGATATTAAAATCTTGAATGTGCCGTATGATTTAATTATGTTTTAGGATTTAAAGCCTTTAAAAATGCTTTGTCATTTGTGTTTGTACTTGTACTGCATCACAACGCAGTGCGTAAGTGAACAGATTCCACATGTGAGGTTGTCTTGTATCTATTTTTGCCTTCATTGATAAACATTATTAAAAACGCAAATTTAGTGAGACGCACACTCGCACATGTTAAATGTCACCTGCATGTCATTGTCATTGCCCTTTAACCCCTGGTCTAAATCATATGATTATTGAAGCGGGGCCGTTTTGACTTTGGGCCGTTTTGACTTTGGGCCGTTTTGACTTTGGGCCGTTTTGACCTAGCATCGTATTTGCGGCCAAATTGTCTATACAATTTTATATACTAGATATCACAGCCATACCTGCCATTTTGATCTTTTCCTCGCGTTAGATAAGTTGATAAGTACACTCATTCTTGTTAGCCATCGTAGAGGGTGGGAAAGGGCATTTTCGTGAGCCGTGAATGGTGAATATTTGTTCGTGTGAAATGTGAAATCCTTGATTTTAGTGTCGTGAAATGTGATTTGCTCTACAGCCGTGAGGCGTGATTGTTGATAAAAATCCTCCGTGAAATGAGAATTAAGGATGCCTGTTTCGTGAACTGTGATTATTATAGTGATTATTATAATAAACATGATACGCGATAATCAAATTTATATGATCTCACTCGATTGCACAAGAGTAAAAACTTCGGAGGCCTTTCGCGAGGTTCCTGACGCTGAGGACAAGGTTCCTGACGCTGAGGACAAGGCTCCTGGCGGTGAGGACAAGGATCCTGGCGGTGAGGACAAGGTTCCTGGCGGTGAGGACAAGGTTCCTGGCGGTGAGGACAAGGTTCCTGGCGGTGAGGACAAGGTTACTAGCGGTGAGGACAATGTTCCTGGCTTTGAGGACAAGGTTACTAGCGGTGAGGACAAGGTTCCTGGCAGTGAGGAGAAGGTTCCTGGCGGTGAGGACAAGGTTACTAGCGGTGAGGACAAGGTTCCTGGCAGTGAGGACAAGGTTCCTGGCGGTGAGGACAAGGTTCCTGGCGGTGAGGACAAGGTTCCTGGCGGTGAGGACAAGGTTCCTGGCGGTGAGGACAAGGTTACTAGCGGTGCGGACAAGGTTCCTGGCGGTGAGGACAAAGTTCCTGGCAGTGAGGAGAAGGTTACTAGCGGTGAGGACAAGGTTCCTGGCGGTGAAGACAAGGTTCTTCGCGGTGAGGACAAGGTTACTAGCGGTGAGGACAAGGTTCCTGGCGGTGAGGACAAGGTTCCTGGCGGTGAGGACAAGGTTCCTGGCGGTGAGGACAAGGTTCCTGGCGGTGAGGACAAGGTCCCTGGCGCTGAGGACAAGGTTCCTGGCGGTGAGGACAAAGTTCCTGGCGGTGAGGACAAGGTTCCTGGCGGTGAGGACAAGGTTCCTGGCGGTGAGGACAAGGTTCCTGGCGGTGAGGACAAGGTTCCTGGCGGTGAGGACAAGGTTTCTGGCAGTGAGGACAAGGTTCCTGTCGGTGAGGACAAGGTTCCTGGCGGTGAGGACAATATTCCTGGCGGTGAGGACAAGGTTCCTGGAGGTGAGGACAAAGTTCCTGGAGGTGAGGACAAGGTTTCTGGGGGTGAGGACAAGGTTCCTCGCGGTGAGGACACTGAGGTTCCTGGCGGTGAGGACAAGGTTTCTGGCGGTGAGGACAAGGTTCCTGGCGGTGAGGACAAGGTTCCTCGCGGTAAGGACAAGGTTCCTCGCGGTGAGGACAAGGCTCCTGGCGCTGAGGACAAGGTACCTGGCGCTGAGGACATGGTTCCTGGCGGTGAGGATAATGTTCCTGGCGGTGAGGACACTGAGGTTCCTGGCGGTGAGGACAAGGTTTCTGGCGGTGAGGACAATGTTCCTGGCGCTGAGGACAAGGTTCCTGGCGCTGAGGACAAGGTTTCTGGCAGTCAGGACAAGGTTCCTCGCGGTGAGGACAAGGTTCCTGGCGCTGAGGACAAGGTTCCTGGCGCTGAGGACAAGGTTCCTGGCGGTGAGGACAAGGTTTCTGGCGGTGTGGACAAGGTTCCTGGCGGTGAGGACAAGGTTCCTCGCGGTGAGGACAAGGTTCCTGGCGCTGAGGACAAGGTTCCTGGCGGTGAGGACAATGTTCCTGGCGGTGAGGACAAGGTTCCTGGCGGTGAGGACAATGATCCTGGCGGTGAGGACAAGGTTCCTGGAGGTGAGGACACTGAGGTTCCTGGCGGTGAGGACAAGGTTTCTGGCGGTGAGGACAAGGTTCCTCGCGGTGAGGAGAAGGTTCCTCGCGGTGAGGACAAGGTTCCTGGCGCTGAGGACAAGGTTCCTGGCGGTGAGGACAAGGTTCCTGGCGGTGAGGACAAGGTTCCTGGCGCTGAGGACAAGGTTCCTGGCGCTGAGGACAAGGTTCCTGGCGGTGAGGACAATGATCCTGGCGGTGAGGACAAGGTTCCTCGCGGCGAGGACACTGAGGATCCTGGCGGCGAGGACAAGGTTTCTGGCGGTGAGGACAAGGTTCCTCGCGGTAAGGACGAGGTTCCTCGCGTTGAGGACAATGTTCCTGGCGCTGAGGACAATGTTCCTGGCGCTGAGGACAAGGCTCCTGGCGCTGAGGACAAGGTTTCTGGCATTGAGGACAAGGTTCCTCGCGGTGAGGACAAGGTTCCTGGCGCTGAGGACAAGGTTCCTGGCGCTGAGGACAAGGTTCCTGGGGCTGAGGACAAGGTTCCTCGCGGTGAGGACAAGGTTCCTCGCGGTGAGGACAAGGTTCCTCGCGGTGAGGACAAGGTTCCTCGCGGTGAGGACAATGTTCCTGGCGCTGAGGACAATGTTCCTGGCGCTGAGGACAAGGTTCCTGGCGCTGAGGACAAGGTTCCTCGCGGTGAGGACAAGGTTCCTAGCGCTGAGGACAAGGTTCCTGGCGGTGAGGACAAGGTTCCTGGCGGTGAGGACAAGGTTCCTGGCGGTGAGGACAAGGTTCCTGGCGGTGAGGACAAGGTTCCTCGCGGTGAGGACAAGG